AAGTTACTCAACAAAAATTAAAGGATAAGACTTAAAATGAGTTTGCTAAGATTTAAAATAAATTACAATCAAAGAAATATTATGTAGATCCCATATTTAAATGGTTAGAAAATAAGCATGTGATATCAAAGTAGCAACGTATGTTATACATGTAAATGTGAATGTTTATATAAAAATTAATTTTGTTAAAAATAATATTTTTAATTGATTCTATAATGAATTTATGTTTATGATGCTGGATTAACTTGAACTTTAAGTATAATTTCTAGCTTTTCATACTATTTAAAACTATCGTAAGACTATGTTTATGTCTGTGATTTGCTGAAGTAGCAGTGAAGTATGTATGTTTAATTAAAAATACAATAACACAGTTTAATACTAAATTTAAAATCCATTTTACACATAAATATTCACAAGGTTAAAAACTAAATTTTAAAATACTATTGTAAGTTAAACGTAAAGATTTTCAACTTATGAATTATGATTGAAATAAAATAAAATTTAATTTTTAGATCTTATTTACATAAATCACTCTCATTATTTAAAAATTATTTAATTTGAAATCATTAATTTATTCTCTGTCTAGTGTAATAACACGCTAATTCTGCAGGTCATCCTGCTATTTAAGTCAGTGTTCTTCTAAAGATGCGCAGAACTGATTTTGGTTGGCGCGTTGCCTTTCCTGACAGAGTGTAGTTGAGGGTTGGTTTATAGTTTTTTATTAGTTAAAGATGAATAAATGGGTATAAATTGTAAATGAAGTACACAGAAATGAATTTAATGTTATTAGTAATTATTTTATTTACCAAGTTAAAATCTTCCTTAATTAATAAACACTGACAGCAGTACCAAATCAGCTTCCGCGCAAAAAGAAAAAAGATGAATGGAAAGTTCATGATACGGGATGTGGTAGAACTGAAGGTTATTATAAAGTGGACAGTAAACAAAAAGCCAACCATAAGGTAAATATTGCTGTGACCTAAATTTATTTATAATTTAAACTAGGGTTCATTCACCAAGAGTCTTTATAGATAGAGTAAAAGCAAATATTTTATTTTAGACAAAACTATTAATTCATTTTTTTTTTTAGTATCATTTTGGACACACAATTGCTCAATTAAATCGTCTCACGGAGCTTAAACGTGTAAAAGAATCTACTGGCAAAATGTTAGCTCTCTCTCGTGAAGCACGGAGTAACCAAAGAAGGTTATTAACAGCATTTGGGGCAACATCAGATAGTGATTTGCTAAAATTCAATGTGTTAAAGTTCCGTAAGAAGCAATTGAAATTTGGAAAATCTGCTATACATGATTGGGGGTTGTTTGCTATGGAATCTATTGCAGCTGATGAAATGGTTATCGAGTATGTAGGGCAAATGGTTCGCCCTGTAGTTGCTGATCTACGTGAAAGGCAATATGAAGCTACTGGAATAGGTAGTTCATATCTGTTCAGAATAGATTTGGATACCATTATTGATGCTACGAAATGTGGTAATCTTGCAAGATTCATTAATCATAGTTGTAACGTGAGTATTTTTATCATTATACAAACAAAAGTATTTTAGTTGATTAGAAACATTAGTTAAAATTTAGTTTTTTCATTTAAGAATATTATAATTTAAGTAAAAATTATATACAATTTAAATAATAATTTGCAGTTGTGTTTTTTAGTTTACAGTAATATCAAATCTTTTTAATGATAATTATTTCAATAATTTGACTTTTTATTTTTCTTAGCCATTATTCATTATCATATAATTGATCAAGTTTAATAGATTACTAGTAAATAGAATCCCAAACAGAACAAACTGTTGAAAGAATGTATTTATTTCACAATGATGTGTGTTTTTGTTTTGGAGCTGTAAAATTACTTAGATTTTCAATGAAATATTTTTTTTAGTGTAGAACTGTAAAAGTAAAATATACCCTGTAATTTTTTGATGATTGTGGCAAAAAAAAAAAATTTGTGAAAAACTGAAACTTTTACTCTAGTTTTTAACAAAATTGATTTTTTTTATTAGGTTTTAATTCAAAAATTAATGACCCCCTAGATACTTAAAAGTTCATCAAACGTTTAAATTATTTAATTGTTGACTGTTTATTAACATTTTACATTTAGATTAATTTTATGGTATTGCCTATTTAAACCACCAACTTATTTACACCATTCTATTATAAGTCGGTATCGACTCAATTACAATATCAGAATTAGAAATTAAAATTAATGTCAATAGTATAATAAATGTAATGTTTTCTGAACCTGTTTTCTTTAATTTCAGCCTAATTGCTATGCCAAGGTAATTCAAATCGATGGACAAAAGAAAATAGTCATTTATAGTAAACAGCCAATCGATGTAAATGAGGAAATAACTTATGACTATAAATTCCCACTTGAAGAAAACAAAATACCATGTTTGTGTGGTACCCATTGTTGCCGTGGAACGCTCAACTAGTTGGAGAATTCTTATTAAATAAATTGTAAATGTTTTATAATTATTGTTGGACAAATTTTCTATAAAACTTTTGCTAATTTTATTTAAATGAATGTGACTGATGTACAAGTTATTGTTTTGCAACGCTTTATAAACATGAAGCGTTTGCATTTTTTTTTTTTTTTTTTTTATTTGTACATAATATTGTAAAATTATTAAATACGTATTATTAATATAATAATAGTTCCCTACTTTATTTATTGCATTTTAAAAAAAAAATTATACTATTTTATTTTATTTCCAAATATATTTCAAACAAAAATAATGAAAGAAAAATAAAATAACTTTTGGATATAATTGATTCAATTTCAGTCAGATCAAAGAAAAAATGTAAATAGTTATTTAAATGAATAAATGTTGTTCATGTGATATAAGTGTTCTGTTCGTTTAATATAGAATCAATATTGGTATAAAGTGGATAGGTATATTATAAGAGTATAATAAAAAATATGATTTTTACAGTTAGAAATTTTTTTTTTAAATATTAATTCCATTATTATATTTAATATTTAAATTGATCTAAATGGTGATGGATTAACTTATGAATTCAGATTGTCAATTTTCAACTTCATGTATCATATCACAATATTAGCAAAATATTATTTATTTGGTAATTTATATATTATGTAATATTCAAGGTGTAACAGGAATACTTGACAGATTAAGTAACTTGTTCCAATCCATGAAAGAAATAATCAGCTGATGTGATCGTCTAAACTAACTCAGAAATTCACTATTAGAAAAGTAATAATTTTTTTTATTATTATTTAACCAAGTATCAACAAAAATTCTTATAAAATGTTTAAAAAGTTTTTTTAAATTTTCAATATTTTTAATAGTTTTGCAAATTGATCAAAAATACTAAAAAAATAATGAGATTTCAACAAAATGTAAAAACTAAAAAAAGCAACCCAATTGAATTAATTAAATGTATTTATAATCAACATTTTTTTATGAACCAGATTTACAAATTAGTAATTCTGAATTTTACTAATAAAATAACATCAAATTTAAAACTTTAGATTCTGAGCAATGTAATGATTTTTACAATGTTTCTTTTTGTGTTTGGCATTAATCTTTGAGACAATAGAAATATTTTGATTTTCTTCAACAATTTCTTTTCTGATATAAAAGTGATTTTTTTTTTAGTTTATTTAAACTAATGTCAATAAAATTTATTTTGCTTTRTCAAAAAACTTTAGGCATAAATCTGCAATGATTTTTATAAGACTTTGAATATTCACTCATAAATTAACAAATTCTGATACAACAATTTTTTCATTTTTGTCATTATTCAAATAGTTACAATTTGCAGGTAATCTTTAAGTGACATCAAATGTTTATATTTAAGTATATAAAGTTCAAATTTTACCAAATTCATCATAATGTATAATTTCATTGCCAGGTATTTATAGTTTCCTTGTCTACCTAAATTATGAAAAATTAATACATCCATATATTACTGTATGCTTGTGAAGCATGGGCGTCTACCAAATCTGACGAAAACAAATTAATGATTTTTGAAAGAAAAATCCTACTAAGAATATTTGGACCAAAGAGAAATTATGAAGGTGGCTATAAAATAAGATCAAACAGAGAGCTGAATACTCTATTTAACGAGCCCAATATAGCTGCTACACTCAAGAACCAGAGAATAATATGGGCAGGACACGTCTGGAGAGCAGGAGCCAACTTATACTGGCCATCACGAAATGGAAACCGAACAAATGTCGACTGAGAGGAAGGCCTTGGCAATGATGGGAGGACCGAGGCAAAGAAGACCTCAAATTGTTGGGAATTATGAAGGAGAAGAATTGGCAGAACACAGAGAAGCATGGAGAGAAATAGAAGAAGCGATATAAGAAATAGGCCTAAATGGTTTAGAATAAGCTTAAAAAAATAAAAATACATCAAGTTAACTAATATTCATAACTAGGTACTGTTGATATGGWACAAGATATTCAAGGAAAGGGGTTTTGATTTTTTAGATAATTTATTTTCCAACTAAGTAGCCATTTTAAAAGAAAATTATTTAGAAATTAGAATACAGGTACTTTATTTATAGTAGTTTCACTTACATACATATAAATGGAAAGTAAAATGTTAGAATCRCGTGATTTCAAAAAATCTTTGAGTAAAGTTAATAGTTTGAAATAATAAATATTCATATTCACTGTTATGTCTTAAACAGTGGCGTATTTGGGATAATTTTTCAGGGGGGGGCAAAATACAAAAATCTCTCACTGTCACAATATAAGGAAATTGTAGTTTCAAAACCGGGTACCGTATATTTGGTTGGAACGCATGAATGCATGATAGGCGAGCATAGATTAGTAATAGTAAGCCTACTGCCTAGTCATAATACGCAATACGCATAATAATGAAATTTGACATTTAATAATAATTCAGTGCTAACACATTTTGCGTAAAAAAGTCTCGGGGGAGGCAAATGCCCCTGTTGCCCCCCCTCAAATACGCCACTGGTCTTAAAGGATCAATGTGTATATCATAAACTATTATTAAAATTGTATTTTATTTTGGAATCTAAAATATCATATAATTAATTTACTTTTAATCAGTCAAATATCAAATGTTAATTCTATAGTAAGAGTAAAAAAAAATATACATAAAAACTTAATATAAATTATTTGACGGACAAATCAATAAAAAAAAAAAAAATTAAAGATACAATTAATATTTAATATAAAATAATATATTTAAACTTAAATTACCAGTTCATTTCTCTCAGTGGAGAAGACTGAGCAACTGGTTTTACAGTGTTAAAAGTATTAGTTTTTAGTACATAAGTTTTATTTTTAGGGGCAATATTCTCAGCATCAACACGTCTGCGAGGTGTGGCCAAAGCATCTAAACGGTTCTTTGATAAACCAGTTGCCTTTAGTTGATTAATTTGTAATTTAGCGGCCATCGCATTCTTTTCCTGTTGACATTTTGAATATTAAAAATGCATTATTTTAATTAGATATTAGTTTAAATAATTTCAACTTATATTAAGTTAGATTGCAGTTTAATCGGATTTTTGTTAGATAAACAAATAAAATATGCAGATTTATTAAATAAAAACAATACCTAAAAATAAATTACATAAACTTACATTTGTCAAATCGATTATTTTTCTTTCCAAATCATCATGTTTTTTAGCAATTTCTTCAAGTTGAATGTTTCTGTCAAGTGTTCTAGGAAAACAGAATAATAATATAGTTTTACATATTTAATCGATTTTAATTATAAAGAAATATTTACTTTTCATATTTCTCTAAAAGTTGTTTATAGTTTGGAATTTCAGGATCTGTATTTTCAATGTCCAGTTTAAGTTTTTGAATTATTTCTTTTACTTCACTATCAACCATAGATTCTAAATCATCCAAAGCAACCAGAATATACCTCATTTTAGCTAACCAATTATCTTTGACGGACTCAGAAATCTTCATATAATCATTAACTTTTTCAGTAAGTTTATGTTCAACAATGGCAATTTGATCAGCAGCCAATTTTTCAAAAGATTTTTTCTCACCAATTTCTTCTCGCAAACATGCAATTTCATTCTGTAGAATTTCATTATGTTTGCATGTTTCGCGTAAGCGATCACAAATTGCATATAAAGCAGCCTGAGAATTTKCAATGACCATCCTACACACACGATTTTCCAATGCCTCTGAACAAGCACTGCGACAAGTATTAATGTAGTCTTTACATGTGTCAGTAGTAATTTTCGAATCATCTAATTTTTCAATGTCAACAAGAGCTTTAGTAAGGTTAGAATCTAATTTTTTCAATTCTAAAAGACGTTTAGCTCTTATTTTTGTTGAACCAATTCTTGATGAATTAGATTCTACAGTTTTATTAGATTTTTTAGAACATTCGGTGTAAACTGAACTTTGCGAACTGTAATTAAAACAAAAAAAAGTTTAAATAATAGTAATAAAAAAATGAAATGTCAAATATATTCATTAATGCTAAAAACAATTTATAGAAGATACAAAAATTTTTCATAGTAAAAATATGTATAAGTTGTATATTATTTATTTGTACAAATTAAGAAGGTGCACAAAATGTTTACTGTGTGTTCATTAATTTAGGGAACACTAAATTTCTCAGTCAGATAATGTTGAAATACATCGAATTTTTTTTACAAGCAAGTGGTATATGTATAAATACAAATTTTCAGATTAATTTTRAAATTTAACTGAAATRTGTATTAATATATGACTAGGTTGTAAAAAAAATTGTATTTATTCCAACATAATCTCGCGGAGAAATTCAGTGTTTCCTAAATTTCTGAACACAAGGTATATTATATTATTATTATCATACCTGAAATTTGATGCAGTTTTGAACATTGAGTGGACTTTTGTAATTTTTTTAGCAGTCTAAAATATAAATATATCAATTAATATTAATTTAATGATATAAATTATTGTTATGCAACAAAGTATTAACTATACTACTTGTACCATTGAATAAATTATCCATAAACTACTTTGGAAATAATTGTAAATTTACTCATATATATAAACATATTTAGTTAGAAAATAATTAATACCTATGCATAATATGAGAATGAAAATCAAAAAGTATGACTTATCTCATAAAATTTACAGAATATTTATTTTTAATTTTCGATTTGTAAGCTCACCAGTGTGGTGAGTGGTTACTATAATAAATAGCATATGGAATAGTATGCAACTTCTATAACTTACAGAGCCATATTTTATACAGTGTGATCACGATAAGTGGAAACACTCAATAACTATGTGTAGGCTTCATATATTTCAATTCTGCTTTTTCGGCTAACTAATAAACATTAATATACACATTTTCAAATAATTAGACTATTTTTTTGACAGTTAATTTTGCGCATGCGCACAACAATTTTTTTTTTAAATAGTTTGATCCATTTTTGATCACAAATTATTTTTTTTGGTATTTTTTAATGAATTTTAGGGGTTGAATTTCTTTAAGTCAAAAAATGGCAGAGTTATAGCAATTTGATTTTATGTTATTTGCACGGGTATAACAGATTATTATTACCRACTACGTATTTTATAATCTGTTATACCCATGCAAATAACATAAAATCAAATTGCTATAACTCAGTCATTTTTTGACTTAGAAAAGAAATTTAACCACTAAATTCCATTAAATAATACCAAAAAAAATTTTGTGCGCATGCGCAAAATTAACTGTCAAAAAAGTAGTCTAATTATTTGAAAATGTGTATAATAATGTTTATTAATTAGCCGAAAAAGCAGAATTGAAATATATGAAGCCTGCACATAGTTATTGTTTCCACTTATCATTATAATGTTTATCTACTGACAAACTGTCATCTCTGAAAATGTTGTAGATAGATATGTGATTTTCTGATAACCAATTTTTGCACTAAACCTAATAGTACATTTAACAAAGCCCAGTAAAAATAACCAACAAAACTATGGAAATAAAATACACTCAGAGGATATTTTGTTTGTCTTTTAATCATGAAAACAAAACTGATATGTTGCATTGTGGAAAAAAAGAGATTTATAAATACTCTATAAAGGCGYAGAAATTGGTACAATGAATTCACAACAGTAAGTTTCGAGTATATATTAAAGAACTCTCCATTAAAGAGTCTCTAAATACTATAGATTTATTCAACAAACTGTGAATCATATTGGAAGCTTAGTGAATTCAAACATTGGAGTTCATATTAAAATAGTAGAATCATTGTGAAAGTCATTTAAGACCAAATACAACATAACATTGTAACAGTTAAGTAAATGGTGCTTCTTCACTATTTAATCGCTGAATAAAAGAAGAACAGTAATGCCACCACTCAATACATAAATTAAATATCAGTATTAACTTAAGAAACAAAATGTTATAAGTACATTACTATTTTAAGTAGCATAGATAAAATGATAGACGGTAGATAACACATTGGACAGGTTCCCAATATTTATTACTTCTATCCTAATATCCGACAAACACCAAATAATATAAAATTAATAAATTGTACTTACTTGTGGTACAGTAGGTTCTTTAAATCTCTCTGCTTTATCAAATTTAGAACCTTTAATAAGTTTTGGACATGGACTTTTTGGATCATATGTTCCAGGTGGTGGCGCACAACCTAATAATAACAAACATATTTTATAAATATATATTTGAGAATAGGTTACTTTAATGATGAGTTAACTAATTATTATAAATCATTTAAAAATTAAAAGCAATTTCAAAACAGAATTTAGCAAGATAAGTGATTGACATCTGTATATTACCATATATTTTCATGAACTATTTAGTTATTATTATTATTATTAGGTTATTATAAGCTATTGATATTGGTACTGAGAACTGACTAATTGGTTATTGGCGTAAAAACCTGGTGGGCAAACGCCACACCGCCACAGGCCCAAAACTGATGAGGACCCTAGCCTAATAAAAATACCACTTTTTTATTGTTGGATTAAAGATTTCTCGACAAAATGACAAATAAAAAAATAATATTATTTTGGTATTTGAAATAAATTTCAACTTTATAGWGAAAATTAATTTTTTGTTTTTATTAAAAAATTTAAGAGGCCTCTGGAAATATTATGTTCTAGCCCTCAAATCCTAGTTATTGCTAGCCACTGCTAATGGTGTACTGTAATAACTAGATTACTTACTTGAGACTTCGTTAAACCGCTTAATTTTGCTCTTCACAAACGACATAATTGAATTGGTCCAAAAGTAAGTAAATCAGATATAAATAAAAAAAATGTAGAAGAATAAATCGGACAGCAGATAAAAAATAAAAAACTTGTTACTTAATATGAGATGAAAAAAAATTATTACAAAAATAAAGAGCTTAATTTGCAGTGTCACGGAACAATATCTGAATAACGTATTATGGTATACACTCTACGGCACCATAACCAAAAGACGGACAAACGGTAATAAAGGTATTGACTATTGAGCGCCAAAAACGAAAACGAAAWGGGGTTTTCTATGACGAGTGATGTGGGGTGAATTGGGGTTTGTCCGTTGTTCTAGATGACTGGGAGTGGGTAGTGGGCACAAACGCACAATATTATTCAACAATGGAAATAAAAGAAAACCGTTGAARAATAAAATAACGGTTTTTYTTAGGTGGTACCTACGTGATAACGGTTATCAGTACATAGGACCAAAGACGCTCGTTAAGCCAGGTCCCGCGCATAAACATACAAATATGAAATAATGAATAACAGTTGGAAAAAATTATTATAATATGTCAATTTCGTATGCACGACGGCATGACGGATGAATTAAGTTAATATTAAAGATTGTATTATATTTTATATAATCTGTGATAATATAGTAGATCTTAATTCGTAGATGTATGGAAGGTCCGTCCCGCCTGTTTCCACGATTGACAGCCTCACAGACAAAAACTACATGGTAGGCATCATCTCAGATATATATACAATATTGTATATTCCACGTATCCCCCAATCTTCACCGTCATCATCATCTCTACGGTTGGATTGTTTTTTTTTCCTATTATTCCACAACCAATGAATTGAAAATGCCATAGTCGTTATGTTCGAAAATATAAACTTAAAAATGTTGATATATGCATTTATTTAAAAAGAAAAATCATAAAATATTCATTTATAACACAAATATGCTTTAAAATTTATATATTTATTATGATTTATATAATATACACAAATACAGAAATATATGAAGGTAAAAAAAAATTATAAAAAGTTAAAATATGTACTTATATATTATATATATAATATATATATATAGATTTTTTTTGATGATAGTCAATAAAGGTAATAAGATATTAGCAATATTTATTGAAAAGAAAAAAATAGGATTGACAATATATAAAAACGTTTAAATTTTTTCTAAAGATTTCTAGAGGTAAAAAAAAAAATTTTTAATTGTTCTACTTGCAATAATATGACCTATAAAATATTAAAATATGTATTTATTAATAAAAATACCCAAATATGCAAAATAAAGGTAGTGCATTTTTTATCTCCAGTATGTGAAACAAATTTATATTCTACTTAGAAATCTTTTGGACTAACCAAAAAAATATGCAAAATGTATATTATAAATCCTTTTCCTAGTCATATAATACAATTTTAATTATTTATAACTAGTATTTTTTTTCCTGATCTAACGCTATGTGTAATAGGAAATAATAATTTAAGTGCATAGGTTCCCAACCTATGGCCCGCGATCCATACTTACAAAATGTAAAAATATTTTAATAATTTAATTTTCCTTTGAGGCATAATACTAATTATTGACAATCGTGTATAGTATGTCRTTTATTTATAAATTTATATTCTAATATATTCTTATGTATCTATAAAATTCTAAAATATGTGAAAAAAAATTGATTGTTATTTGTGAGAAAAATAAGGTATAAAATTGAGGTGGTCTGTGACGTATCAAAAGTTCTCCTAGTTGTCCGTAGTACCAAAAAGGTTGGGAACCACTGTTTTAGTGTAACATATTTCACTATTAGCTCTTAAACTTTTTATCCATATCTAAAATTGATTTTGCGTAAAAATTCCAGGTTTTCTTTAATTTTTTTTTTGTTTTTCCAGGTATTTTTAAAAACTATTGGGAATAAGATTCATTTTCCAACTGGAAAAGCTACCTAAGTTGAAAATCGAAGCATTATTTCGACAACTTATTGTGTACATATACACACAAATAAAAAAACATTGAAAAAATCAATACATTCATAGCTCCGCTCAGAATCTAAAATAGGCTTACTAAATAAATATAAATTGAATACAATTTCATGATCATTTAATTTTTTATTTGCAATCTATTTACAATAATTTTAGTTTTCCTAATTTAATTATTTGTACTCACACTAAAGAAAAAAAAAACGAAAATCACAGAAATTTATATTAACTGTACTTTTTGCCTTATAATACTAAGTTATCAGTCTAGGAGAGTGTAGTCCTTCAATAGACTTTTGTATTTGTGGCAAATGAGAACATCCTGGTGATCCCCAATCATGAAGTCCAGCTTGATTTGCCAATCTATGAGTCAATTTGTGAGCAATTGAAAACCCTCCACTTCCTTCTAATTGAGTCAATACAATTATAACTTGTCTAAAAAAGTTGTATAAATGATTTTTTAAATGAAAACAATCAATTTGGTATTATTTCTTACCTATGCAGAGGTGGAACAGAGTCAATAGTTTTGAGTAATCCTCTAGTTGACATAACATTATAACTTTCTTGACAATCACATTTCACATGTATCCAACGATTTGCATGTCGATTTTCTACCACAACAACAAGTCCGGCCCATCCTTTGGTTAAATAGTAAGCAGTCATTCCTTCTCGGCCCTATAATATTATTTGTAGTGAATTATAGTTATAATATTATCTAATTAAACTAGACAAACTTACTTCATGTCTTTGTCCTTTTGCTAAAGTTAAGTTAATAATTGTGTCAGCCAAAACAAAGGAAGGTGGAGACACTTGTTCTACTAATAATCGTTTAGAACTATGAATTGCCAAAACAAACTCAGGATAAACTGAAGGATCTACCAAATCTAAAAATATAATATAGGCATAAAAATATATTATAAGTTATGATAAGCTTATTTTATTTGTCTATCATACAAAGAGTGATTCACCAAGGATGCTTTACTCAAATTCTGATTTCTGGAATTTTTGTTTAAGGCTTTAGACTAATGACATTTCATGTGGTGTACAATAAGCTAGGCACAACACTTTATATCATCATCATAACTTTTAGAGGACGCTACACCCATATGTGTTGTCTCTGTCTTACAAGTGCGTAACATGGTAAATTTTACACTCAGCAGATCACAATTAGCTCCATTTGTTTAAAATATAGAATAAATTGACCTCTTATAAAAATTAAAGGTAACATTATTTTCGAAGGCTTCTAATAGGTTTTTTTATTATATTTTAATTTTAAAGCGTGTTGTGTGTAAATTTAGGTACAGAAACAATTTAAAATTTAAAAATACTTTAAAATAATCCAAAATTCAAAAATTTGTATATGTTATTAAAAGATACAAAAGGAGTTGGAACGCCAGGTGAATCATCTTAAATACATTTTAGCACACTCATTTAATTAGTAGAATAATCAATTAAAAATTTAAGTAAACCTGTATGCCAATGATTAAATGCCAAACAAACAACAACATAAACATCTGGTTCCAACATCTTGTGTGAGCTAACAAATCCACGGACTTGACGTTTGCTGTGTTCAACAAGACGACCAATGCAAATAGGTTTTTCAGATGTAACTTCTCTACTTCTCATTACTGCTACACACAAATCAAGTTGACTTCTGTTACACTTTTCTGATTTCCTAATAACAATATATATAGAAAAATAAATAAATATTTTTGATTTAAATATTAATCAATTTGCCTTTGTCCTTCTTGAAAAAGTGTAAATTCTGCTTCAGTTGGTTCTGAGACTGTGAGGACAACACATGATAAATGATCGGTTGAAGATAAAGGTGGCAAATATCCTTTAAGTCTTACTTCATTCCACATATTATTTCTTACTTTACAGATATCAATACAATCAAAATACCTAAATAGTAAATTAAAGACATAAATTAATAAAAATCAAAACTGTTTATCATTTTTTATTATTACTTTAAAACATCATCATATGATATCCAAAATACTCCTTCACAACATCCATCTGGCATCAACATTGTTTTTAATTTCTCTGACCACATGTTTGAATCATCTGACCAATCTCCATTCCACGAAAAGTGTCCCCAAGGATTTCTTAGTTTCAATAATCGATGACTATCAATATCTCGAACATCCAATACAGAATAGGCATGTCTTGGTCTTAATCCTTTATTTTGGTAAGCGTCTTCATCTACTTTCATATTACCTCCTCCACAAGATGCTCCCATTAAAAAACCAGCAAGGCGTGAACTTAATAACTGCGCCCATATTAGATCACGATCAAGTTCATCTTCTGTTGGAACAGATGATGGTTGTAATGGCACACTTTCACAAGGTGCTCCTGTTAATGTGGCAAGTCCTTCAATTGCTCTACCAGAAACAAGTGCTTCATAGCAACCATGGAGTTTAGCTATTGCTTTCTCTATCAAGGGAACCCATAATTGCTTACGTTTTGCCTGTTAAATAATTAATTATTATWTCAAAACACAAAAGCAATAAGGCATATACAAACCTGACTATACACTAGATTTCCTCTGTGGTCACAAGGCAATAAATCATCAACAAGAACTGTGGTCCATTTACCATCTTTACAAAGTCGAACTTGGTATGCACCTTGTTGACAATAATCTTTGGTAACCATAACATGTCTAACTAAATCTTCACGTTCTGCCAAGACGGTTAATGCACTCAACAACCAACAATTACCTAAAACACCTAAATTAAAAAACCTTAATTAACACTAGGTAATAAGTACATACAATTATTATTTTACTAATATTTCCAAGCTTAGTAAGTTATAATTTTTAAAAAGATTAAAAAATAAGGTAATACTTAAAAAGTATTTATTTTTGTTTAAATTTACCTTGAATTATATCTGAAGGTTTTGGTTTTCTAAATACAGTCCAGGATGATTCCTTATCTAATTCTGAACAAATAATTGATTCTGGTCTTAACCATTGAGTTACTCGGCAGCTCTCGTGTTTTTCTGTATAATATAAAGATTTTGCAGCTGGGGGAAAAGAATCATCAACAAATTCTTGACTGTTCTATAGTATTAAAAATAAATTTATAATGTTTTTAAGTTAATGCAGTTATATTATCATAGTTTCTTATATTATGTATTTATTATWAAATAATATTTTTAAATAAATCTGTATTCTATATGGATGTATTCTAACTCCTGCAGAACATTAACAGAAACTAGAAATATGTAAGTAATTTAATAATAAAAAGAATGGAGAGTAGAAACTCCTCTTCAGTATAGTTAATGTCGAGTGGATTAATGAATGTGTTAAATTTGAGTTCAAAGATATAATTTCATTATACACAAAAAAAAAAAAATGAAAACATTATTCTGAGCAAAGGTTTGTAAGA